GACCTGGCTTATGTGCCCTGGAGAGCAAGCTAATTGCAGTTTTTGAACACTGTATCTCTTCATAATAATCTAATTTGGCTATTACCAGGAAAGACACAGCTCGTTTGATAGCTGCCAACTTGAATTTAAAGATTAATTAGAACAAAGTGTAACTACCCAATAATATAGGGCTGCCACATCTCAGGCTGATGCCTCTGAGAATTCCTATAGTTATTCAGGTCTCCAGACAAAATGAGTAGACATTTGCACACATATGTTTTGGCCGTTTTCCTTCAGCTTCTTCAGCTTGTTTGGCTTCTCCAAACATCTGTAATGGAAAGGGCTCAGCCGCCATGTTTTTTTTTTTTTTTTGCCCAGAACGGCCCACGTGGTTGTCGGGCAAGGCTTCTTCTATTTGGGAGCATGCAGCACATGCTTCCTTAACCCCGTTGCTCAAACCCAGGCTCCCTTAAAAGGAAGAAAGGAAAGCGTCCCTGGAAGAATGCTTCCTTAACCCTGTTCTTCAAACCCAGACTCCCTTGAAAGGAAGAAAGGAAAGGGTCCCAGGAAGGATGCTTCCTTAACCCCATTCTTCAAAGCTTGGCCCCCTTGAAAGGAAGAAAGGAAAGGATCACAGGAACTGAAAGGGGGCCCTTGTCATCAGTTGGCCGGGACTTCCTGGATCTTCCGCTTGCCTAGCCAAAAACAGATTTTTCTATTAGTCCATTTTTGGGAGGCTCTCAAAAACGGATCTGTGTTCCAATGAAATTCGGATACAAAAAACCGATTGCCCTTCATTGCCCCTGTACAAGCTTAAAAATAAGGGATAGTAACAAATTTTAGAGCAAGCAATCTTGCAAAACAAGACTTTGATTTCTGTATGTGAAGTTCCTTTAATGCCCAACCACCCATTTCTAATCATTACGCGAGGGCAAGGTGACAGAGTTTATTAGCAGATCAAAAAGTCAGGAGCAAGTTGGAGAGAGAGTTAGTACACACTTTAGAGTCCATCATGCCAACTTATTTCAAGGCAAAAAAAGTGGTGTGCGTGCCAGCCAGTATAATGAGCATTCTTACTGAAGCCCTAGCTGCAGTAACACACATCTAGACATACCGTATATACTCAAAGATAAGCCAAGTTTTTCAGACTTTTTTTGAGCTGAAAAAGTCTCCCTCGGCTTATAATGGGGTCAAAGCTGGGCAGCAGACCATTGCTAATAAAATATGATATATTTCTCTCTCCTCTTCACCTCTCTTGACAGTGTGTTTTCTTTCCATACAAAAGGGAGGGAAGGAGGGAAAGGATATATAGTTCATGTACTCCTTGTTTGTATGGCTCTCTTTCAAACCCACCCAATTTCCTGGCTTTTTTGTGTATCTAAATGCGCTAATTTTATATGTGCATTTTTGTTCCCTTGGAAGTTTTCCCCTCATATGTTTGCGGATCTTTACAAATCCTATATACATATAGATACCTTGAGATTTCCATGTACCTGTATATTTGTATATGTATACATTATTTTATATGAATTTCCCCTCATATATTTGCAAGTCTCTGCAAATCTTATATAGATATTGATAAATATATAGAGGTATCTGTATCTCTCTCTGTGTGTGCGCGCGTATAGATAGATAGATAGATAGATAGATAGATAGATAGATAGATAGATATAATTTTTATATGAATTTTCTCCTCACATGTTTGCAAGTCTTTGAAAATCCTATATAGATATAATTATCTATATATAGAGAGATGTCTAGATAGATAGATAGATAGATAGATAGATAGATAGATAGATAGATAGATAGATAGATAGAGCTTGCAAATATTGCAGGAGGGAAATGCACAGAGAGAAAGCATTTGCAAATGTTTCAGGGGGAAATGCATATGTGAAATCTATATATATATAAATGCTCATGTCGTAATGAGTGGCTTAAAAACAAAAGAACCGCTGGGCCAATAGCCACCAAATTTGGCAACAAAACTCCTCACCATACAAAGTGTGACCATCAATAATAAAAAATAAAATAAAACTGAAAACAACTTACAAATCCTTAATAAAAGGAGAAGCCACCAGAGTGCATGCGTGCAGCTGTGGGGGGAGTGCACATGCATGTAAGAGAGCTCCTCCATCGTCTCACGGCAGAACTTTTGGCGGCAACGGCTGCTAGGCCTCCCAGAGCCAGCCACAGCTCCTCATTGTCCTTTACAATTCAAATGCCAGCCTGGCCAACGGCAACAGAGGCAGAGGGGCCTCTTCCTACTCACTTGCTCAAGGCCTCTTTGAGCCTCAAGCCAGGGAGCAGGAGCAGGAGCGGGCTTCTCCACTCCGTCGCCATGCTGCTGGTGCTGAGGCTTCCAGAGCAACTGCGCCTGGGAGAGGTCTGGCCCTCCTTTCCCAGGAGCAGTTGCAAGCAGAGAGGACTCTTCTTCCCTGGCTGAAAGACCGTCAGTGTGAGGACCATGGGACTGTTCCACAGTGGTTTGACCCAGGGCCATCCATCACCCCCCCCCCCCCCCCCCGCCGCCTTCCCTGTAGCCCATGGGCCACCCAGAGTGCCGAAAACGGCACAAAAAGGCACCAAAAAGGCAGCACGTGGCGTGAAAGAGCTACGGGCCCTTCGCCCCTCCCCTCCTGAGATTGATTACAGATGAACTATAAATGCCAGCAACTCCCAAACGTCAAGGTCTTCCCCAAACTCCACCGTGTTCAGATTTGACCATATTGAGTTTTCTTTCCAAGTTTGGTCCACATTCATCTTTGTTTTGGTTCACAGTGCTCTTCAGATGTAAGTGCACTTCTATTATTATTATTATTATTATTATTATTATTATTATTATTATTATTATTAAACTGAGGCTGGCTATCTGTCAGGAGTGGTTACATTGTGCTTCTCCCATTTCCCAAAAGGGGCTGGACTAGATGACTCTTGGGGGCACTGTTCCTTTTTCTCCCTCCCCCCCTCCTTCCCCCCCCCCCTTTGCTTCCCATTTCCCTCTCACTCTGTATCTCTTTCGGAAGCTGCAGCCATGATGGTTAGTTGGCCCCGAGGCTACAAGTGAGGCTTGAAGGAGAAGAAGAAAGTCAGGAAAACAAAGAAAGGAAAAGAAGAAGAAGAAAAAAGGGGGGTCAGAGATTGAAGGAACAGCCGCTCTCTTGGAGACAGAGAGGAAGGAAGGAAGGAAGGAAGGAAGGAAGGAAGGAAGGAAGGAAGGAAGGAAGGAGAGGCACGGGAGAGAGGAGGAGAAAAAAAAACACCTCGACTGCACGTGCACGGCAGAAGGTAAGGTAGGGAAGGGAAGGAAGGAAAGAAGGAAGGAAGGCAACCCAACCGCTGCGCAGAGGGTGACCCTTGGAGGTCTCTCCCTAACCTACGATACTATTATTATTATTATTATTATTATTATTATTATTATTATTATACAGAGGCTGAATGGCCATCTCTCTGGAGTGGTTTGATTATGTTTTTCCCTTATGCCAGAAGGGGTAGGACTACATGGCCCTTGGAGGTCTCTTCCTACCCTAAGATTCCATCATCAACATCATCACGTTGAGGCTGCCCATCTGTTAAGAGTGGTTAGATTGTCCTTTTCCCATTTCCCAGAAGGGGCGGGACTGGATGCCCCTTGGAGATCTCTTCCTACCCTACCATTCTATTGTTATCAAGCAGACGTTCCATGGCTATCTGTCAGGACTGCTTTGTGAATTTCCAGCATGACGGTAGAAGGGGGTTGCCACAGATTATGCCACAGCAACGCGTGGCCGGGTAAAGCTAGTTTGAATATATAATTATAGATCTATGTCTAGCTCTGCATTGTTTATATAGTCATTGAATGTTTGCCTGTTACTATGTTGGAAGCCAGCCTGAGTTCCCATGGGAAGGTAGGGTGGGATACCAATGAAGTTCTATTATTATTATTATTATTATTATTATTATTATTATTATTATTATTATTGATATCATATTGTTTTTGTTGACCCTCCATTTCCACTTACAGAGCTAGTTTACTGCTTTTCTTTGAAATATGGTAAATATTCAAAAACATTTAACCTACTGATACCTCAATTAATGTAATTTTATTGGTATCTATTTTTATTTTGAAATTTACCAGTAGCTGATGTATTTCCCACCCTCGGCTTATACTCGAGTCAATAAGTTTTCCCATCTTTGTGTAAAATTAGGTGCCTAGGCTTATATTCGAGTCAGCTTATACTCCAGTATATATGGTAATTTAATGGTGGAGAATTTCTCCATGTGTCATCTGTGCCATAAGTAAGGCTGCTGGTGTGTGAGTGCTATCAGGCATGGTAACAACCACTGAAGAAACAAGGAAGGCCATTTAACTTTTGGCTTATGGGGCTAGGTGTTCAAAAATTTTGAAAAAATAAACCCCAAGTATTCCCTTAGACATGTAGCACATAAAATAAGAATTCAAGTAATATTTTCCTCTATAACAGATTTTTTTTTATAAAAAAAGTATAATATACCAAAGAAAGCTATTCAATACTATATGGAAAAACTGTTTAGTTGCTTATTCTTAGTCCTAAGACTCCAACCTCTAAGTAATCACCTCCTTAGCACTTCTCCTTCCAGTAGAAATAGAATAGAAGCAAAGTAAATGGCTAACAATTTCCATCCTTTTAGGATACTCAGAATCTCATTGTTTCAGGTAGTAGAACTGGCTATGAAAGTTTGCACTCCTGTGCTTGTGTGAAGTTAGATAAAGGTTAATTGTGACACTGCCAACATCACTACTACTACACACAGAGGTTCATAAAGTGACGTTAGAAATGTAAATCCAGCAGATTCCTTATTTCCATAAATATGTTGTGTAAATATTCATTATATGTACACATTCATAGTCCAGCTTAAATTCCAAACTGGCTTGCTTTAAAAACAGTATTTACCCCATTCAATAATTTAATTGTTAAGCCAAATGGAAGTCTAGTAATGGAAGATAATACTGCACAATAAAAACAAAATGCTTGTTAAATAAGTATTAAGAAAGTTGAGTCTACCTGTTTATGCAGTCACATCTGACACGGCAAAGTTTTGTTGTCAAAATGGATTCATTTTTCTTTCCGGTATCTTGATGTAAAGAGCACGAAATATTACAACATACCTACTTCCTTTGCTGTTTTCTGTTTTGCTCGCACATACCCAACCTCAAAGTTAAGTTCCCCACCTCCCAATAATTGTATCACTAAAGGATGTAAGAGTGGAGAGGGTACAATAATTCAGTGAGCTGATCCTCTTTTAAAATTTAAATTAACTACAGAAAGGAGAGCTGCTCTGATTATGATCAGAGTAGCAGTGTTGCAAACTGGATACTTCTCCCATTTATTTTTTCCCCAATAATATGCATTTTTACTAGCATTGCTGATATTACCACATTTGTACCTGATGTTCCCATAAATATAAATGACAGCATTATTCAACTTCTGCTTTTTTTGTGTGAATGTGAACATATTGGAAGAAATCTCCTTCATTGCTTCAGACAGCATGCTAATTTTCAAATCATCTTTGTTAAATTACTATATTCAATATGTGCTTGAATAAGCTGTCACTCCCATTCAGCCATGATTCTCCCTGAGACTCCTTCTATACATGCCCTAAAACATGGAACTGGGATAAAAGGGATTGGGTGTGGTTAAATGGCATTTCACAAAAATGTACATTGATTTGGATTAACAGCTGAAAAACACTAATTTAAAAGGTGCACTTAAAACTAAATTTCGGCCAAAAATGTGCATATTCACATGACCGTATATCCCTGCAGTCAAGGAAAAAATGTCATTTTGTTCCGATATCCTGGTGTGGACTGCTCCAGTGTATGTGTGCATTTTAAAATCTTGAAACAGCTGGTGAGGGCTGCAAACAAATGGAGCCACGGACACACAGGTGGCTAAATGGAAGCACAAATAAAAAGCAATTGCAGTGAGAACTCTCTGCAAGCATTCTTTTGTCCTGATCTTTATGAAATTAAAGAGACCTTGAATTGTCAATAGGGTGCGGACTGGGCTTACCCATGAGGAGACCTGCAGCCACACCTTCATTCCAGCCAGCTGACCCAGCAGGGAGAGAACATGGCCCCCACAACCTTGCTGCGCTGCTACTTTAATGGCCGCGCCACCCATTGCCCAGCTGCCGGAATACCTGCACTGGGTGCCTCCATAGACACGCTGCCCATCATTTGGACATTGGAACACCTGTGCGGGTGCTCGTTTTCAGGGTTCCCCTGCCTCTCCTGTTGCTTCAGATCACTTTTTCCATCAACCCACTTTGGGATTCAATGTTTAGTTTTAAGCTCTTTTTTGTATTTATATTTGAATTATTGCATGCTTACTTTTAAGCTTTTCTATTGTATTTCTATATGAATTATTTATTTATTTATTTATTTACTTTGCTTATATACCGCTGTATCTCAAGCCCGAAGGCGACTCACAG